CCCATCTCTGTACCTCCGTCCGTCCTGCCTTCCTCCGCTCTTTCCATGTAAGAGCATGTTGTGTCCCAGCCAGGTCAAGAGCCACAACCAAAGCAGTAAGAAGCTTGGTACTTCATCGCAGGAGTGCTGCTGGTGCATGCTTACTCCAGGAGACGACTTGCTGACAGGATGCCTGCAACATTTTGGCCCGTCCAAACTTCACTCACCTTCAGTGAGATGGTTGAAGTTTTGATGGGAGAGAAGGGTTAGAGGAAGATATTTTAAGAACACCATGCAAATCCACCACCATCTAGCCCTAAAGGAAAGAGTCAGTATCTGATGATGCTCTACTTTGTGCAGTGTATAAACAGGAAGATTCAGCAGTTTGTTTCATATTAAGAAACACACACAGAGGTTCCACATGGATGTAAGGATTTGCGGCTGGAAGTTTATTCCAGCAAATCTGCTGGCACAGCTCCTAGAGGTCAGGCAGGAGTTGGCAGCAGGGTCCATCTAATCTCTCCATCAAGGCAGCCAGCTCGGGGCCCTGGGGAGGTCTGCCCCTCTTAACACATTAAGGCTGCTAGCTCAGAGCAATCCCGATGCCTTGAGGACCAGGGGTGACTCCAGCACAGGCTCCAGCAGGGCAGGGAAAAGCAGCAGCTCCTGGTGAGTGCTTGGCCACTGACTACTGAAAACACATGCTCACAAGCATGGGCTGGTGGGAAAGGATGCAGGCTTTGCCTTACTGGGGTCTAATGAGTTCCCTCCGCAGCTCCCCCAGCCCTGGCAAACTTTGCAAACATGGCAGGAAAGCCTCACCATGGACTTCATTAAGTCTGATCCTTGGCACATGATACAGCACAATTCCACTTAACAAATCTCAAGTCCAGCCAAGTCAAAGCAAGATAGACGGTGCCTTCCCATGTGGGTTTCCTTGGCTCAGATCCTTAGGGCTACCAAGCTATGCAGCTGCTATGAAAATCAAAAAGGTCTTCTCCAGAAAGCCTTCTGCAAGTGTGATCCAGCACCACATGGCAGAATGGAGTCAACACCTCCAGTTCAAAGCTCACTAGCTTTAAAAGGGTAAATAAGGTGCATTCTAGGTGCATCCCTAGAGCTGGCCACAGCGGTGAAGCAGGTTCCATACAGTGGAGCTGCTGACTCTGAGGGTGCACAGACACCCCAAACCTTTAAACCAGGTGGAGACTCAGGGATCAGGATTAAACCCAGATTCTGGGGAGACATCCCCCAGCAGGCTCTCCTCCTCTTGGGAGAGACCAGCTTCGTTTTACAGGACAATAATGAGACTGATGTTCACTGCACAGCCCAACACCAAGGAAGGATCAGTGCCTGCCTTAGATAACAGAGCAGCTCTGAGGGGCCTGGCCCCAGCAAAGAAAGGCACCAGCTACTCCCAGACACAGTTACTGGTGGAGGTCTGCGGACTCCCCTTGGCCAGCCGTTCCACAACAAAGGCAGATTGGTTTGAGGCAGGGAAGGGCAGCTTCAGCACAGGAAAAGACTTCCGCTCCTGTTATGCTGCTTTGCTAAAACCTCCCCTTTGATCCCTGGGGAAAGGGACAATTTGGCAGCTGAAAGACTATTGTGTGCCTCTTGCTATAAGCAGCTGCTAAAGGCTTGGTTGAGAGCTGGGGTAAGTTATTTTAACTGCACAGCAAACAGAGCTGTGCCCTAACAGGCAGGTAAAACCAATCTGTCCCTGCTGGGAAAACAGCTTTAAGAAAGAAGGGAATGAAAAACCCTTTTCTATATACTAAAAGTGAACAGTGTGAGGTTTTGTCATAGGTAGAGTATCACAAACCTCACGGACTGGCGACAGATCCTGTCTGCTCTAGGGAAACCTTACTGTTTTGCCTCTCTCCAGACTGCTGTTGTTCACATCTGTGCTATCCCTTAAACAGTGAGGCTGCCAATCAAAGTCTAATTCAGAGGCAAATTCTAACATCTGGGTTCCTAAAGAAATTCTTCAGCACTTTCTGAAGCACTAACATGTGCAAGTTAAGGGAACCATCAAAAGAGAAGAAGCCAGAAGCAGACTTACAGAGTCAAATGTTTAATAACTTTCCAAGAGTGAGTATTACATCCATATTTAAAGCATATATAAAATAAGAGATGGAAAACAAGGAAAGAAAAAAATAAAACTGGTAACTTCAAGAGGGCACACTTAAC